GGGCCTAGACCCTTCTTCAGGAAAGGCCCAAAACATCAGCCTTCCTGCTCCTCTGATGCTGCTTGGCCTGTTGTGTTCATCCAGCTCTACACCTTGTTATCTCAGATTCTCCAGCATCTGCAGTTCCTACTATCAGTGATATATGAACTGGACTCATATAAGTTCGGTCAGAAGTCGCACAATACCAGGCTATAAGTGCAACAGGTTTATTTGAAATCACAAGCTGTTGGAGCACTGTTCCTTCGTCAGAAGTGAAGAGTAAATGCTGTTCAATTGGAAGGTGTGTTTGGGTCCTTGTTTGAAGAAGAATCACATCAGATGTGAAACGTCATCTATGCTTTCCTCTCTCTCTCTTAACAGGTGCTGCCAGAACTGTTCAGTCGCACCAACATTTTCTGTTTCTATAACATATTTCTACATTTACTCACCAACCAATTGTGGAAAGTGAAAGTCATGTTGATGCCATACATAAAATAACATATATATGAAATATGTATGTATATACATATCTGTTGAAACACGTTGAATATACAGTATGAAAACAATGTGTTCTCTGTTAAATACATCTATGTTTTAGCAAGATTTCCATTATATTGACACAGTGCTATTAGCTTGATCAGTGTATACTTCAATCTCATAATCAGTTATTCCAATGAATTCTTAGTTCTTATTTATGATGCAATAGTTTAGTAAGAAACAATCAAAGATTTAGAAGGAATCGTGTTTAAACAACCTCCTTAGTTTCTTTTAAGGTATTTCATAGATAAAATAGGTAATAGCCATTATTTTATTAAGTTTCAATTTGACCTTTATCATGCTATGTCATAGACCTGTCTGTCGCATAATGTCCATATAAGGCAAAGGCCAGAAAGTGTTTTGCTGAGGTTTGAGGATGCAATGCGTGTTTGAGAATGCAGTCTGTGAGCCAGAACAGAATGAGGGAGGAATGCGATGCAGAGATGGGCAGGCTAGAAGGCCTGCTTTGGATGCAGCTGTCCATCTTCCAACGTTGTTTAAAGGTTGCCTAAATCATATTCTCGCCCTGATCTCCACATCCATGCCAATCAGATTCCCCATCCCCTTCCATATATTCTTCATAGCCATTCATTTAGTGTTCACTATGTACAGTTCTCAGTAAGAGGCAGTGGGAATGGGAATTATTTTAAATCAAGGTGTAACTTGAATTAAATCTGAAACAAGGTAATAAAACTCAAAGTTTGTAATTGATTCTGTGAAAAAATTATTTATATTGGGGTAGAAGTATTAATTCTTTAAGTGCCATTAAATTATGTAAGCAAACATTCAGGTCATCTGAAACCACTGAAAGGCTGAGCATGTTATTACAGATTTGTAAAACTGTTTGCCTCTACAGCTATGTCAACAGACCTAATTTGTGTAACTTTTGTGGCTTAGCCAAGCATTCATAATGGCTATATCTTTGAATACATTGCTGTAACCGCAAAAGCCTAAAATGGAAATAAAAGAGTCCTCTTCATTTCAAAACAGATTACCTATCAATAAATGGAGGGGAACAGCTATTTGGTTTGTTTTTACCTTTCAAAGGGATTGTTTATTGACAGTCAGAGCCCTCTGTCCATTTTAATCCCTGTCTCAAACATGTCAAGGATTAATTAATTTTCCGTATTTGTTGGAAATACTTCATTGCACTGTCTTCAATGGAAAAAGTATTGTAAAACATCTCAATGCTTACATGGTGCTGGTTCATTTAATTAATTTATCTTTTTCAGGACAGAACCCTACAATGAATCACTGCATTAAAAACACATCTATGTTACAATTCAGCATCTAATAGTTTGAAGGTTTAAAAATGTTTATGATTAACCTTCCTACTTGTTCCTGACTCCTGATCAGACTTCTTCAGTAGTCAGGTGCTCTGAAAGCAGGTTTGTTTTTTTAAGAGCTTCCAAAACCCATACCAGCAAGGATGTCATTGTGTGCAGGACTATATACAGTTTAGTCCTCAAAGTGGACACCCTGACCTCAGAGATGCATTGTGTTTTGCACTCAAGAAGATTTGCACTCAAGACCTACAAGAAAGGCCATGTGAAAATTGTGTGGTGTTAGGAGGGCAGAGAAATTCTTTTCTCTGCTGGTAAAATGCAGTTGAGCATTTCATGATCCGATTAAAACCTCTGTTGGGAGACAAATTCCATCCTATATGTTTACATAGATTTTCATGCTACAAAATGGAATGTCCACTGAATAGCCAATATCTGACCACGTAGTGAGTTTAGGAGTCAACTGACATTATTGTCACTATACTTAGCTGACCGGATATGTTCTGAGCAGCAGGACAAACATCTATTGTGCCGTGGCTTCAATAATAAGCTATGGAATATAGTAAAATTAACAATATACAATACAGAATTCTAGAAACTTATGGAATATATGCTTTGATAATGAGATCATATAGGTAAATATTTTACAATGGATGCAAAACATTTTGATGTCACAATATGTAAGGGGACAATGGGCTAATTCAGCATGTTTTTGTTTGTCTTTTTATTTAGTAAGTTAAATTTCTAATGTCCAAATTACACATCTCACAATACTCAGTACATCTGCTCAATTGGCTCTGGTTTTAAGTCTTCATCTGAAAGCTTCTGCTTTTTCTTAGAACGTTGGCTTGAATTTGTTACTTCAGCCACTAGTTCCAACAAAGGTATTTGATTTCAATACTAGGATAATGGGTATTCAGCAAAAAAAAAGGTCTGAAGGATCTTAAGAGGTTAGCCCAATTAACAGCACATGGACTTTCATTTGGCTGGTCCTAATCAGTGCTGGAACTTTGTTGACAAATAGTAGAAATACAGTAAATGCCTGCATATTTAGACTTATTTTTTGCGAGATATTGTACATAAATCACATTATTGGTTTCAACATTCTCAACTGAACTTCTATTTTAGAACATGGGCAACAGAGCCATTGTCTTCAATTGAAACTGAGTATATAAAGAATCTTCAGCAACAAGTTTGCCTTTTGGAACTAGAAACAAATTTTCTATATCCTTTTGTTTAAAAGAATAAAAAATTAACTATAGTGTATAAAAGCTCAATGGTATACAATAGTGCATGTCTCATGTTTCATTATTGGCAACAAAAAGATGTGGAAATAAATTATTGTCTTTTAATGCACTTGTGATAATACAATTGCAGATAGTAAAGTTTTATGTTATATTAATACTACCTATAAAGGGCATGTTCCTTGACTATAAATATTAACACAGCATCAGGCTAAGCAGGCTGCAAGTATTCCACCAAAAATTACATACAAGGCTGAGGAGATGTTTTTGGAAATGAAGGTAGTTACATCTGTACTTGTTTAATCACATTTTAAGTTCAATTGTACAAAATATGAAAAACATTTTAACGACTTTTGTCTTCTGTTCCTCCTGGTATTAGTTTTAATTTTCTGTATTGCTTCCATATCTTGATCTACTTCCTTCCTATCTTCCTGAAGACAAAGTATATTTCTATGCAATTTCACAAGTTCGAGCAGTTCCCCAGGATTACTCACTAGTTAACTAGGTGAAACATTCAGTCAAATCCAATTCCAGCAGTACTGAATGTTGACACAGATCTTCTGATATAATTGCATAAGAATTGGTAGTGAGAACTTGAGTTGCTTCTTTTCTTTTTAATACCTTCTTCCATTCCAGGAATACCAGTCAATTGTAGCACTCTCACAGACAGAGTAGGACAGACAAGGCAGTGAACCAGGCATCTTAGTTGCCTGCAAATAGTGGATTTTCCCATTGAATTATTAGAGGAGCTGTAGAAACCTCTCTACTTCAAGGTATGAGATGACACATAACATTTTTCCACTTGATCTAACAAAGCACTGAATATTTCACCAAGACAAGTACTGCAGTAACAAAGGGTCTATACCTGAAACACTCACTTATTTGTTCTCCACAGATTCTTCCTAGTCTGTTGAGTTTTTATGCACCCTCTGGCTTTAGTAATGGCCAATTTAGAAATATCAGCACTATGGCTCTTGAAAGTTCAATACATGACCTCAGGCTAGTAATTTGATTAATGTTTTACTTGCTAGTTGTCAATACATTATCACTTTAAATTAATATTTTAAAAAATAACAGATCACTTTTCGTCTTTTATATAAATGATTTGGATGTGAACATAGGAGTTATGGTTACTAAGTTTGCAAATGACACCAAATTTAGAGGTGTAGTGGACAGTGAAGCAGGTTACCTCAGAGTACAGTGGGACCTTAATCAGATGGGCCAGTGGGCAAAGGCATAGCAGATGGAGTTAAATTTAATTAAATGTAAGGTGCTGCATTTTGGAAAGGCAAATCAGGGCAGGACTTATACACTTAATGATAAGGTACTGGCGAGTATTTCTGAACAAAGAGACCTTGGAGTGCAGGTTCATAGTTCCTTCAAAGTGGAGTCCCAGGTAGACAGGATAGTGAAGAAGGTGTTTGGTATGCTTTCCTTTATTGGTCAGTGCATTGAGTATAGGAATTGGGACGAAATGTTGCGGCTGTACAAGACATTGGTTAGGCCACTTTTAGAATACTGCCTGCAATTCTGGCCTTCCTGCTATAGGAAGGATGTTGTGAAACTTGAAAGGATTCAGAAAAGACTTACAAGGATATTGCCAAGGTTGGAGGGCTTGTGCTATAGGGAGAGGCTGAATATTTTCCCTGGAGCATCAGAGGCTGAGGGGTGACCTTATAGAGGTTTATAAAATCATGAGAGGCATGGATAGGGTGAATAGCCAAGGTCTTTTCCCTGTGTTGTAGGAGTCCAAAACTAGAGGGCATAGGTTTAAGGTGAGAGGGGAAAGATTTAAAAGGGACCTAAGGGGCAACTTCATACAGAGGGTGGTGCGTATGGATCGAGCTGCCAGAAGAAGTGGTGGAGGCTGGTACAATAACAACATTCAAAAGGCATCTGGATGGGTATGTGAATAGGTAAGGTTTAGAGGGATATGGGCTAAATGCTGGCCAGTGGAACTAGATTAATTTAGGGCATGGACGAATTGGACTGAAGGGCCTGTTTCTGTGCTGTACTACGGCATGACTCGATGACTCTGTAACATATTTTGCTAAGATAGTAACAAACTGTTATAACAGCCTTTGGTCATCCTATTTACATTGCTCAGGGGAAAGAAAAGTTACCCATATGAGAGAATACAAATGGTTAATGCTTGCAGGGTATGTTCCTAATTTTACTAGTGTTAATCCTTTATCTGAAAATTTGGCTTCAGTCAGTTTGAATTTGTATCCCTTTGTTCTATTACTACAGTTTTTATTGTGCTTGAGATTTACTGGGTGGAATTTTCGATTCTCTATCCATGCTGAAAGGAAGGGACTATTAGTGGGTCAAGAAACCATTGAAATAACTTATGAGCTATGCTGTGGCTCTCAAACAGAGTCAGGATATCACCACAACAAAAACAAATGTTGTTGGAAAAGCTCAGTAGGTTTGGCAGCATCTGTGAAGAAAAAAGTCAGAGTTAACGTTTTGGGTCTGGTGACCCTTCCTCAGAAATGATAGTAGCTGGGAAACCGTCGGTTTATATGCAAAAAAAGTAGGGAGGGGAATGGGTTCGGGAGTAAATGAGAGGTTGGAGCCTGAAGAGAGAGACTATCAGTTAGACAGATAAAGGAGTTGATAAAGAGATAGTAGGAACTGCAGATGCTGGAGAATCTGAGATAAGAAGGTGTAGAGCTGGATGAACACAGCAGGCCAAGCAGCATCAGAGGAGCAGGAAAGCTGACATTTCGGGCCTAGACCCTTCTCGTCCGGAATTGGAAAAATTCATCAATTTCGCTTCCAATTTCCACCCTGCCCTCACTTTCACCTGGTCTATCTCTGACTCCTCCCTTCCCTTCCTTGACATCTCTGTTTCCATTTCTCGAGATAGACTGGCCACTAATATCCACTATAAACCCACTGACTCCCACAGCTACCTGGACTATACATCCTCACACCCTGCTTCCTGTAAAGACCCCATTCCATTCTCTCAGTTCCTCTATCTCCGTCGCATAAGTTTAAAGACGAGAGAGGGAAGCAGCATCAATGATATCATCGATATATCGGAGAAAGAGTTGTGGTGGGGACTGGAATAGGACTGGAACAAGGAATGTTCCACGTATCCCACACAGAGACAGGCATAACTGGGGCCCATGTGGGTGCTCATAGCCACCCCTCTGACCTGAAGAAAATGAGAGGAGCTAAAAGGAGTTGAGGGTGAGGATGAGCTCAGCCAAGCAGAGGAGGGTGGTGGTGGGTGGAATAGTTCAGGCCTTTGCTCTAGGAAGAAGCGTAGAGCCCTAAGACTCTCCTGGTGGGGAATGGACGTGTAAAGGGATTGCACATCCATGGTAAAGAGGAGGTGGCTGGAACCTGCTGAATACAGAACGTTCAGCATCGGAGAGCGGAAGGTTAGGAGGGATGGTGAATACCGGGCAAGAGGTGGGGTTGGGAATGGGGATGGAGGCAGAGGAAGCGGAGGGGAGGAAGGTTCCAGAGGTATTTCTGAGTTGTTGCATCTTGTGGGCATTGATGCCTGAAAGGAAAAGAAAAAAATTCTTGTTAGCACGACGAATGAGCTGGAGAATGAAGTGGAAACTGCGGAGTGGTGCAGCTCTGAGCCAGTGTGATGCGATGCTGTTGGAGAGAGAGGTTGAGAGTGCGCATGTGGCGCCGCATGGCACTGAGTGTGGATCTCAGGATATGGCGAGAGCAGCTGTCTGTGGAATGTTGGACATCATGGAGATATCTGTGATCCTGGGAGGATTCAAAACGTGAGGGATGAAACTTCAGTTGGAATCCACTGAGTCGGAGGCAGTCACTGAGGAATGTGACATGGCTGTGGAAACGAGTTTTAGTGAATACTTGGCCCAAGACTTGCTTGAAGATTAGCTGACCAGTCAAAGAGATCAGATGGGCTTATGCTGTAGATTTTACAAAGGAAGGCTTTATAATTAAAGGTACCTATTGTGGTTTGAATGTTTGGATCTTGCAGCAACCACTGGCATGGACAGAAGATTGGGAAACTGCCCTCTAGTTCTCAGTTGCAGTGAGGTAATCTTTCCTAATAGTAGGGAGAAGAGGACAACCAGACCTGTGTGAATGAAGTATCTGAGGAAGTGAGCAACAAAAGTATGGTCCTTCTAACCTATAGACAGAGCACCTGGGACCTTAAAGGAAATGTGAGATACTAAGCCTCAAACTCTGACTTTTGTAGCATTTGTCTGCATAGCACCCCTCAGAACAAAGCACCTTGAAGTTGCATGCTTCTCTCCAGGTATTTTCACATATCCCCATCTGAGCAGCCAAGTCTCCATTATTCTGTTGTCCTCTTACATCTGTGATGTCCAGTCATCCTCCACAAATATGCTTCCCTCCGTTCACACAAGCCATTACTAACAGTCTTGGCTCTCTGCTTTCTCGCTTTGCAGGAGAGAACAGCATACACTCTCTGGGAAATACGGAGACTCTTAATGCGGGGTGACCTGTGCCTTGCTAGGATTTCAAGAGAGGATCTTATTTCATGAGGCCTGCTGTAAAAGCATGGGGCAGGAGCACGCAGAGAGTGAGTTTGGTGCTGGGGAATGGCAGAGAATGAGTCAGTGACCGAACTGGCAGAGAATTATTCAGGGGCAGGGGCATTCAGTGAGTCAGCAACTGACTGGAGACTGGCTGTGTAAGTGATTGTTTAGGGGGTAAGGTAATGTGGGTGAGCAAGTCAGTGACTGCAAAGGCAAGCTGATTGTGTGGACCATTGACTGCCTGGGGAGCTGGGTGGGTGAGTGAATGATGGGAGTATGGATGACTCACCAGGACTGAACTGGATACCAAATCCCATTAGTCGCTTTCTTCTTTCTCCCCACCTACCCCCAGCAAGAATTTATGCGCAAGCTAAGATGGAAGGGATTTAAAGAAAAGGCTGAAAGGCAAACCAGTTCTAACCCTTACTTCCACCATGGGCAGCTCAGAATATGTCCCACCAGAGGTGAAAATGTATGTT